GAACTGAGAATGTTAGAAATGGCATGAACGCAATCGTGCAGCCCGTCTAACATTAGTTGTTTGGCAATTAATAGCTGAGATATCTCTGGATTTCATCCAGCTGCTTCCTGAAAGAAACCGATGTATCAGCTTTAAGAACATGGCCTGGCAGCCAGTCCACAGCCCAACAACAGAAATCAGTGCCTCCTTATTGCCGGTTCATGTTCTCCTGCTCATTCTGCTCAGCTTCTCCTTCTTCTGTCTTTCTTGGGGATTTCGAATGCTTCAATCAAGGTCTTCTCATGACCGTTCCTCTTCAAGACTAAGAAGTTTCAGTTTTGCACGTTGTTTTATGTTTTTACCACAAATTTCCTTTGCTATATTTTTACAATGCTGTGTAATTTTACCATGCCTCAATTTTGCTTTACTGTGCCTTTACCATGATTTCACTATGCTCATTGACATTTTACTCTGCTTCAGGATGTCACATTTATAAAGTCATAAATACTTCCTATAATACCTATAATAAAAAGGTAACAGGGATTGCAAATGTCATTTATAATGCAATATATTAATACGTATTCATGGAGTGAAATAAATGTGATAATGGCAGACCTCTGAATGTTAGTAATAAAACTCTGATCCTGACCTGAGCCTGCATTGCCCTGTACCCATAGCCCTGAGCCTAGAGTACGTCATAATATAATGTCTTATAAACTTGTTAATAACATATTAACAGATTGCTTAGAAACAGTATTAACAGAGGCCCAAACCCTCACTCTTTTCTCCTTCTTTCTATAAATACCAGCTTGCCATTCATTGTGTTTTAATTCATCTGCTAATACTCAACATGCATATCAATGTGCATCTAATAAAAAATTTACATTATCGTTAATAGCAAAACACATGCTCAGGACTGTTCAGGATCGGAAAATAAAAAATGCCCAGGTTATTGAAATTTGTGGCTCACGCTGTCTCTCTAACTACTAACTGAAATGTTGAAAGTGGCGTTTGAATAGGATTTATGTGCTGAAGAGCATTACAATGGTTTTGTTCCTGAAAAGAAAAAGAGTTTCTATTTCAGTCTGCCGCTTTGCAAAGGCTCTATAAATAGTGCTTGAATCAGGAAGCCGCTCTGATTTTTGTTTTGTTGGAGTCACACAACTTGTAATTTTCTGCTGGTTAAATATCACTCCTGTACTTTCAAGGGCCCAGCTCTCAATAAAGCCCCCCTATTAGCAAATAACTTCATTTCATAGAGCTGAGCCCCCTCGACAGACCAGGAAGGGGATAATGTAGCACATTATGTCAGAGCTGCTAACTGGCATTGTGTCCTTTAACCACAGTGATGCTTCAGTCCAGGCATCTGCTTGTTATCTGTGTTGTGCACCTTACTTCTTAAACACACAGCCCCTGTGCTCCTTACTCCTTAAACACACAGCCCCTGTGCTCCTTACTCCTTAAACACACAGCCCCTGTGCACCTTACTCCTTAAACAAACAGCTCCTGTGCTCCTTACTCCTTAAACAAACAGCCCCTGTGCTCCTTACTCCTTAAACAAACAGCCCCTGTGCTCCTTACTCCTTAAATACACAGCCCCTGTGCTCCTTACTCCTTAAACAAACAGCCCCTGTGCTCCTTACTCCTTAAACACTGCTCCTGTGCTCCTTACTCCTTAAACACACAACCCCTGTGCTCCTTACTCCTTAAACACACAGCTCCTGTGCTCCTAACTCCTTAAACACACTGCTCCCGTGCTCCTTACTCCTTAGACAAACAGCCCCTGTGGTTCTCAAATACACTCCCTGGCTCAAGAACCCCTCTCTGGGCCTCCATTGTGTGCTCTTTATAGCCACAGAAACATGTTATTTCAGTTGTCTTCAGGCCATTCCTGAAACCAGCTCACACAAGCATGAAACAGGCTAGACAGGCAGAATGAGCCCCCCTCGTTAGTAACTCTCTTTGTGTTCCTCACAGGGCCAGTGTCTGGGACACTGAGGGCATTCTACAGGTTATAATGGGGTAGCCAAGCAAGTGTTTCAAAGAACATTTTCTTTGAATATCAGAACAGGAAATTCCTCGATTTGTGCCATCAACAAACACTGAGGACGCACTTTTCCAGTCATGATAGGAGCTTGATAGTCAAACACATTTGTAACATTTTTATGTCCACAAAATAAATCTACGACTTGTGCATCTCTTCTCATTGTATTGGTGCTTCACTGCCCAGCAGATGAGGGATGTTCTCAGCTGGAGTTCTACAGTCCTGCCAGCAGGGGGCAGGGCTGCTGTCCTTGGTGCTGAAAGGTGTCTCTGCGGTGTTCTCTCATTACTAATCCTTCACGAGCTAATCAAATTTTCACTGTAAATATTTACTAACAACGAATCGCATTCAGTGTGCATTGCAGAAAATACAGCTAGTACAATCCAAAATGTCTTGGCTGCTGTAAAAAATGATAAATTGCTCTGCACAACAGCAAGTAAATGCGTCTTTTTAGAGGCTTGCTCATCTGTCTAATGTGTTTTTTGTTCTCACACTTGCAACCCCATTCTTAAACCACGCAAGACTACAGAATGATACAAGGTTTAGAAACTGTGCTGAATGAGGGTGTTTGTGAAAGAGATTCATCCTATTGTGGCTATGGAATCCTAAAACCCATAGGTTGGCCATGACCTCCAGCCTCTGTTAACAGCAAACGAGTCCAGGTCAAGCAGACTCGGATGGACTGAACGCTTTGCCACCAAAGTGAAGGAGCTGGTGGAATCGGACTCGTTTCTGTGAGGAAGTCGCATGACACCGTCAGCTGGGTACTGCTGAGGGCCTCTCGAGCCCTCTAATCGCATCAGAGTCACCTTGCATTGCTTTCCAGGAACTGTGAGAGCCGCAGAATCACTTGATGAAGTCATCCCTACGAGAGGGCCAAACACACGAGGACACACAGAGAAGCACACTGCAGAAAAACACAGGCTTCTGGATTAATTCAGAGGGAGCAAATTAAAAGCTCGACATAAAATACAAGACCTAAAACACGTTTCTCTTGTATTTCAATAATTGCCCTTTTACAGCAGAGTAATTGAGACATGGATAAATGTCTGTAACTCAAACGCTTCAATTGACTGATCGGAGAGGTCTGAGGATTCCTGACTGGTCCAGTCACTCACCCAATTAGCCACCTGGCACAGACAGCAACACTGTTAATCACAGGGGTCAACGAGGTAGGAGTCACTGTGTGACATGCTGGTGCTAATCTGACAGCCGATAATGTCTGTCGCTGACGGCAGACTGTGAAGGTGAAAATATTTGTACCTTTTTGCCAACAATGAAAGAAGATAAGATAGACAGCATCTGACTGATCGTAGTCAAGACCAGGGCCTCATAATCACTGTGCAAACCTGTCCAAATGGAGGCCCAGAGCATTTGAATCCTGTGTGTGATGGAAGCCACTGACAGGCCGGCCGTGCTGAGGATCCAGCTCGTCTTCAGAGCCTGCGCCATCCCCTCCACCAGCTTCACACAGCCCTCGGCTGTTGGAACAGAAGCCTGTTAACCTGCTAAGCTGGCAGGCCTCTGCAAGCTGTTCTCCTCAGGGCTGAAGTCAGCTTCTAAATTTAGGGACCGTGTTCTTCCTGCAGCTTTGTTAATGTACAGCACGCACTTCAAACAACAACAACAGCGCAGTGCAGTTCAGCGCTCATTTTAGAGATCTTTTACAGCCCCTTCCACTAAATTCTGAGAAGCAGGGAGGAGCAGAGGCTTTAGGCTAAAGGGAGGGAAAGACTGTTCCCTGTGTTGGATGGAGCCGAGAGTGTGATGCCTCTGGGGGACAGGGCGACGCGGTGTCTGTAGGTACAACACACCTCCGCAGGTGGAAGGATGATCTGCGAGAGCCCCTGCAGCTTCAGGGAGGCTGTGCCCCAGCCTGCGGGCGCTGCCAGGAAACAGGGTCCTGGGACAGAGCCAGAGAGCGGAGTGAGCTCACATGGATCCTGGGCTTTGATCATCTCAAGGGCCTGTCGAGCAGGAGAGGGGCTCTGAAAAGGTCACATTGTTTAGAGAGGAGCCGATATGAAGATGACTTCACTGGGTGGGCTGAGCTGTGTCAGCTGTGTTTATCGTATTTACCCAGGCCTGGGGCTGGGCTGCTCTGCACATGGCATGGAGGCTCCTCTTGCTAACACTTTCTGCCACCTATGTTCATGTTCAGGAGTTCGTGTGACATGAGACTTCAGGCAAGGAAGCCCCGTCTTACTCATGAACGATCACCAAGGCATTTTGCACCGGAGATATTGATACAGTTTTAATTTCTTAAAAGCAGCAGACTGGTGGTGCTGCGCTGCAGCCCTTGCTCAGCCTGACATGAAGGAATCGCTGTTTTTAATTCTTGTTTCAAAACCCCAAAGCTGTAGTAAGCTTGAAATAAGACGATAATATTTCTGGATCCTACTGTGGAGTCGTGCTCAAGACCTTGTCCCTCGCGTGACCTGTACTGTGCTGCATTCTAGAGTCTTCACAATCTCTACTGTGTCTTGTTCTAGAGTCTGCTTGACCCTTCACAGATCTCTGTGCACCGTGTACTTGAGGTCTTGACTGTGTCCCCCTCACATGTCCTGCTGTGCATGAGCAATGTTGCAGATGAGATGCTGGCTGCAGTTTTAACGGCCTGCAGTGTCTCGCTAGTGGAGTCAAGGTGTCAAGAGAGCTGGCCAGAAACACGAACATGAGAAAGGGTATTCAGCCCCGCTTGGTAGGTAGCTGGACCAGGGCAGGAGGCACATGACTCAGGCTCAACTCCTGGGATCCCAGATAGATGAGTTAACCGGTCTGATTGCAAGTCAGACACTTCTCCCCCACAGCTGGGAGTCTGCCAAAGCAACAACTTTAAAGGAAAACCCAGAGAAAAGCAGACTCAGGAATGCTTTGCTCAAGCTATGCACCCACTCTTGCTCGACTGGGACTCCTGTGGCCTGAGCGAGGCGCTCGTGCGGGAGGAGAGGCCTGTGCTGGCAGCGGAGGGACGCACCTGGCTGGTTGAGCTGCAGTGTGCTCTTGCTCCACTGGGAGAGGCCCACGATGGCCACCATCTTGGCGCCCAGGCTGGAGCGCCTCTTCTTATTGGTGGAGAGGCCGGCGGCGTCGGGCGGCCCGCTGTGGCTCTTCTCGATGTTGTACATCTCCCCGCTGATGCTGGAGCTGCGCACCACGTTCCTCGCCGCCGCCGCCGCCGCCGCCGCCGCGCTCACTGCGCCACTCGCCACCTCGCTGCTTAACATCCTCCGCCAACGGCAAGGGGGGGCGCGGGGGGGGTGGCTGGAGGCTGGAGGGGGAGGAGAGAGAGAGAGACGTCACGGGACAGAAACACCGCTGCCGGACCGCGCCGCAGAAGCACAGCGATTTCTGCGGTCCCAGGAAGAGTACGCCCTCCCAGCAGCCTCTGCGCCTGACCTACTGAGACCGTCTTCACGGTGTGGGGGCGCAGCGCGCAGGGAGAGGGGTGCGCCTGGGCTCTGGGGCCGTGGAGGACAGAGCCGCTGGGCCAGCGCTGCCAGAGCCCGGCGCGTCTCCCGCCTGGCAGCAGCAGAGCGACTGTGCTGCTGCTGAGCCTGTCAGGTCTCCGGCGCTGCGAGCTCAGACGAGGCTCCGGCGCTGGCGAGACGCGCTGGCGGCTCTCGAAGGCTTTGAAGTAAAACAGGCACCGTCTCTGTGCCGTTGCGGCAGACAGCTGTGTTTCATAATAAAAGGGGCTTTTGAGCACATAGATTTATTTTTACAAAAGAGCTGGCAGTTCTGTCAGATGGGCTTCTGACAGTCAGGCCTGAATTTATTTTTATTGATTGTATTTTTGCATGTTCAGATTTTAGATGTTGACATTTCTGCACGTTAAGGGCTCAATCATTATCTTGTTCTGCACAAACGCCCATTTACAGGGGATTTACTTGGTTTCTGGCATAAAATACTTACAGTGCCGATGACGATAACCTGAAAAAACGTCAGAACCATGCACCGCTCCAGATCCCGATCCAGAGAAAATCTGACCCGGAACACACACTGCCTCTGCAGCCAGGCTGATCAGCTCCCTGCCCTGTCTGTGGCTCAGCGCCATGGGAAATGCTCATCGGGAAAGCAGTGTGAAGCAAGAAGAGGGTCAGGGAGAGACGAGAGAGAAGATGTGATGCTTCTATTGGGGAAGAAATGAAGCTCATAACGCACGTCCGGGACGAATGACAACAGTCAGGTTCAATCTGCCTCAGCGTTCAGGAATTGGGAATCAATCCGGACCTCGTTTTCTCACCTAGATCACTATAAATACTATACGTAAGACTTCTCTCGCTCTCTAACATCCCTCCGCCAGCCCATCTCCACCTCTGCAGCTGCCCCCACATTGCCAGTGAGCCTTTCGATACGCGGCCTGCCGGCTGCTGCTGTTCCTAGAGAGCTGCATCATGAACCCGACTGCTGCTCATTCGGGACCCATGAAGACACATCTCCCTCTGGGAGGAAGGGCTAACCACGACGCCAAACACTGAACGATCCTGTTTTCTTGAAGTCTCACGAGGCACCAGACATCGGGCTGCACGCCGAGAGCACAGCGAGGACGCCGCGGACACACCCATGAACTGAGCAGGTGCCCTGCATACTTTTGAAAGCAGAAAAGGCGGAGTTAAGCCACCCACCTCCGCCACTGGGGTGCACCTCTCCCTCTCGCACTGCACTGGGGGTCATACACTCGGGGCACAATGGCAGCACACAGTTCAATGGTGCTGTGTTATCTAATTATACCATAGAAATCTCCTGCAGGACTCTGGGTTGTGGCCATCCTTATGGAGTTGTACACGCATCCTACAGAACTTCCTGGTAGGGTTCTCCAGAACTCCTTTCATTAGAAAAATAAAGGATTTCCCTTCTTTACTGCATGATGAACAGAAGAATCCAGAGGGCAGGGCTACTCAGCCCTCAAGAATTTTGTAATAGTCAGCCACTTCATTATTTAATTGCTAATTACCAGGATCGAAGTAACAATTAAGTAGCTGTCTGCACTGAAGTAGTGCGCCGGACTGGACTTTAATATCTCCAGACACAAGGATGTTGTAAAAATAGACCCCAGAAGGCAAAAATGATTAATCATTCCAATAGAAAGATTAAACTGCTCCCGATACCGATTACTCTGACTTTGTAATAAAATGACAGTTCCAGTCACATTCCCAGGAAGAGAGAGGAAGACACCTGGGTTCTGTTGGTGTGCTTGCAGTCACTCAAATCCAGCCGGCCAGAATTTCAAATTCCTAATGTTCTGAAAGGGTACTTGAGTGTCAGGGATCTAATTTGGTTAATTTTCTTGTCAATGAGTCTGTAATGAATGCAGTGTGATCTGTCATTGTTCCTGCCTGACTGTCAGTATTTGTGGCTTATTAACAATGACATGATTCAGCTGACTGTCTCTCATCAGATCTGCATGGCAAGACCTGGTGCCTAAACGTATCATTAAGACACAGAAAGACTCGTCTCAGCAACTTCAGTGTATCCATTAATACACAGAACTAAATATCCAGACCTACATCACCCAAATATTACAGGAAGCCAGCAACATGCTTTATTTATCTTAGAACCCTGATTTTTCCCAGTGTTTCCAACAGCATGAAACTAAACTATTTGCTTAGGAGACACCCCTATCTGGGGTGATTTGCAAAATGATACAGTGATACATAAACTGCAAAAAGGCGTGGCCTGAGAAAAGGGACTTGACGAGGCTGACGTGACTGGGGTGGGGGCGTGGCCTGAAAGAAGGGGCGTGGTGAGGTTGTCGCGACAGGGTTGGGGGCGTGGCTTGAGAGAAGGGGTGTGGCGAGGTTGCTACAGGGGTGGGGGCGTGGCCTGTGAGAAGGGGCGTGGTAAGATTGTTGCAAGGAAGTGAAGGGAAGAACATGTGAGCATCGGCTCTATAGAGTTCTGTGAAAGCCATGGGGGGAGATGAAAGGCCCCAGAGTAATGCAGGGGGACCAGCAGGAGACCCAGCCCAGAGCCCAGAGGGACACACCCCCAGCCTGCCAGGGCTGCCGGTGAGGGGGATCAGCGAGGCAGGAGGGAAGCAGGTGTCTGGGTCGCTGGAGACCCAGGACAGGAAGTGCTGACAGAAGGACAGTGCGATTCAGTGTCCAGCGCCACACAAAGGACAAGGAGCACTGAGACAGGCAAGAGGGAAGCAGACTGAGGTGAGTGAATGGGCGAAGGGCACGGTCGCACTGCAGTAGTGCTGCTTCTGTGTGTGTGCATCTTTGTCAGGCCCTGCGCGACACTCAAGAGACAGGCCCCTGAATCAGATACACACGGGCTGGAGCCGCTGGCGCGCAGGGCCTGTCTGCAGCCCCCGTGTGAGCGTGACGATTGTGTAACGCAGGGGGTCGGTCTTCAGAGCAGCTCCCGCTGAAGTAGAAGCCAGACTGCATGCCTCTCCCACTTATCTAACGTGCGTTAAATAAATGTAAACAGCCACAGGTCACCGGGTACGCACTGGAGAACGAACTGCTAGCGTGATATACAGTGCGTCCTGGGCGCTGAGCAAAAAAACAGAGTGGGAGAATTCCTGAGACAAAACAGCTGTCAAGTTTCATGCAAACATCCATAAAAAGAAGACAACAGGGATGTCACAGTAATAGCAATAGCACTGTGTGAATTTAAAATGTTTCACCCTCCCCTGACACTCCCGCATACTGACACATTGACACACCTACACCCTGACACACCTACACCCTGACACACCTACACCTTGCACACTGACACACCTGCACACTGACACACCCGCATACTGACACACCTACACCCCGCACACTGACACACCTTCACCCCACACAAGACACACTGACACACCTGCACACTGACACATCAACACACCTTCACACTGACAGACACGGACACACCTACACCCTGAAAGACACACGGACACACTGATGCACTGACAGACCGACATCATATCGGTAATATGGTGGGTCAGACAAGGAGAGGTGCAGATCTGGAGCGCATCCCTGGTACAGATATGAAGCACGAGCCCGAGATATAGAAGAGCAAGCCCACCCGGGTGAAGATCTGGGAAACGGAGGAGTGGAAAGCTGAAATCTGTGAAAGTATTCAACAAAGAAACCAGTCTATCCGGGAGCTCTGGTGGAAGGCATGCTTCTACGTTGAGGACAATCAGGCTTCAGGAGTCTTTCTAGAATGACAGGCCTGGAGACCTGCTCTTTCTGTCGTGCTGCTGTGATTCATACAGTCCCCCTGCACCCTGTCTCTGCTCAGGGCTGAGGACGCTCTCCTGCCCTCACGCTGGATTCGCTGACTTCGACCCCCTCCTGCTCCAACAACACACTGACTCAGCTCCACTCCAACCAGTTCAGAACACAGAGCACCAAATATGGGACTTTCACGCAAAATATTCTCTCTTGACTCTACAAAGCAAATTCTGAAGCGCTTGTCTTTGATTGTGACAGAACTCTCCCAGCCCTTACAATGCAGTATCTCTGGAGTTCATCAGGACAGGGCTGTTGGATGTGGCCTTCAACCAATTCTTTCAAGGCCTGGGAATAAAAATCAAATCAAAGCCGGTACTGGGTGAAGGGAGAGGTCAGGATCTCAGGG